GTCACTTTTGAATGGAAAGCCCCTTATTAATAGTAATAGTATCAATAATAAGACTTTTCAGTGGTAGCACCCTAGCTGTACAATGTCTTCTTAGAGAGGCTCCCCTGACACCCACACTTAGGATTGATTGGGACAAATTTGAAAAAGACTTACTGGTAATTGTCAAAATATATCTATAACTGTTTGTTCCAAAGTATTATTGTCCTAATTGTGTTATTGTTCATTATCCATTGTTCTTTTTATGCTTTGGAGTACACAAAAAGTAATTTTCATATTTGTGGGTCTTTATGCTGACTGTGCTCAATACATAAGGACTTTTATTGCATATTATACTGTATCTTTGAATTGTTTTTATTATGCATATTGTGTTTTTATCTTGTATTTTTATGCTGTGAACCACCCTGAGATCTATGGATGAAGGTCAGTATACAAATTTAATAAATTCTACTAATAATAATAATAATAACCCAGCCACAAGCCTGACCATATTATTTTAGTTCTCTATTTGCTTTACTCATTAAAGTAATTTTATTATCATTTGTTGGACACCGCCTGGGGTGATACTAAAGGAAGGGTGATTCATAAACAACAACAACAATGGCACACATGCAATAGAGTTTAGCTTACCTGACAACAAATGTATTTCTGAGCCTTAACCACAAACTGAAAATTAAACCAAACTTAGCCCTGACAACTCAGTTATTTATGAGGGGGGAAACTGGTTTTCATAACTTTCAGCTGCCAATCAAAAACCACTGTACTATGCAAAGGATTCTGGAACATGTTCTTGGGTACCATTCATATGAGGCATGCACCAGCCCTGTTGGGCTTCACTCTTGCCCCCCCCCCCGAACATAATGTGACTCAGGACACACCCAACACTCTCCTTCAACTACTGTGGTACCTTTGGATGCGAATGGGATCCGTTCCAGAGCCCTGTTCGCATCCTGAAGCGAACGCAACCCGCGTCTGCATGGGTCGCGATTCACCGCTTCTGCGCATGACGTCATTTTGAGCGTCTGTGCATGCATGAGCAGCGAAACCCGGAAGTAACGGGTTCCGTTACTTCCAGGTCGCCGCAGAGCACAACCTGAAAAGGCTCAACCCGAAGTATGACTGTACTCACTGTTTGTGAAGAGAAGGAATGCTAGGTAGCTATCTTCTAAGTTTCTTTGCTCTTTCTGATTTCTCACTGAAAACCCCTCATAAGATTCTAAGGATCAAAGTTCCCCAGAAGACATTGTAAATAAAACATATGCAATGACATAGGTTTTCCTCCTTGCAGACAGGCACACAGACTAAGCAGGCTCCTGCTTTTGCTACAAAGGCCACTTAGGGAGCTGCTGCTTTGCACTTGCTGCTGCTACCTGCAAGAGAGAGAAAACTGCCCAGTTACCTATATGGCACTGTGGGCATGTAGTTTAATCCAATGCATGTTTGATTTTGTAAGTCAACCAAATTACATTCACTGAGTCAGAGGGCTCCTCCGGATGTTATCTTTGTAGAGTGGGAGCAAGAACACTGCAGTTCAAGTCTAGACTTCTTATATTATGCAAGTGGCATGGGAAGAAGCTGCACAGTTTGCAGCAGTTCCCATGTAGTGAAGCCAGCTAAGAGGGTGCCCCAAGTATGACTGCAAAGTACGCTCTCTTTTGCTCCTGCAAGCATAAGCCCTAGCCAATAATTCAGATAACACTAAATACAAATATCCATGTTATTTTACACAAACCTGTATAAACAAAGCCAAACCATTAGTTAACAAAAAAGGGAAAATATACTCTGTTTTTTAGGTAAAGGTAAGAAGAATTTAAGAAATTTCAATTGCTACCATCTCTTGAATTTCATGTGCAGGCATAACTTGAAAGGGAACTGCTGTTTTTATATGTTGTGAAGAAGTACGGGGGGGTGGATGTGCCATTGTAGCCCTAGTTGCCAGGTATAAGTTATCCATACATTGTCCATAAATCCACATAAATGGGCTTCAGTGTTTAGCATTCAAAAAAGAACATCACTCACAACACTGTTTTGTCTTTCTCTGGTGGGGACAGTACCCTGTCTGAAAAATTTCTTAGGCCTATGCAAGCATTTCCGTTTCTCTCTTGCCGTAGTTCTGGAACAGGCAAGTACATTTTATTACAGAAAGAGACAAAGTGGCATCCTCCTCCTGCTTCCGCACCCAAGCATCAGGCTTTAGATACTATAGTTCCAAGACTATTTCAACAACCCTGAGCAGAGTTTAGAAAAATCTCAACTTGTATTAGGAAAACAACATTCTCTTTTGTTAAAAACACTTCTTCACTTTCCTTAAGAAACTCACTTTATTTAAAAAAAGAAAGAAAGAAAAACCCTGAATATCTACCATGATAGAAGAGAGCCTGCCAAGTGAAGCCTTGATACACAATAGCATTTACAGGAACATAAAGCACAATAAAATAAATTGGCAGTACTTGAGATACAAACAACTTCAAGCATCATCAAGACATTTCAACATCTTCACTTCCTTCCCAGTTCAGACAAATGTATGACACAAGGTTACAATAAATTGTGATGACATTCAAAAACTTCAAAAAAAACCCCACATTTCCTAAGAACTGAACCTTGCCAAACTAGTGTCTCTTAAATTACTCCTCAGCAGGGACCCACAAATTCGTCTACCACACTTTCTGATGAGACCATCAGCTGGTGTCTTCCTCTGAACCTGTCAAATGGGGCAGTGATTTTTCCTGTGGATGCACTATACTTTCGGGACACCAGAGTGCCTCAGAAATGCAGCCGAATTCAGGGAAGATCCTCATTCCACTCTCTAGCTCCAAGGTGGAGAAGGCAGCTATGGTTGAAGGGAAGACTGATCCCTTCCCTACTTCTACACTATGAGCTGGGGAAAGGAGCAGGAGGTTATGATTGTACAGCACACAAAGAGAATCCTAGCAGTTTCAAAATGTTTTTGGTTAGCTAAGGCTTGCAAATTTGGGGATCCAAGTGTGTGCAGCTCTGCTCATCAGACACTATCACATTTTAAATTACTGTATACTGTAAGTTGAGTATAGCCATTCAGGAAGAATCTAAAGACCAACATATCTCAACAATTTTTGCTTTTTTCAGCCCCTGGACTTTTGATACTAGAGTGGTGACTCTTGCTTACAGGCCTAGAATCAAAATGTTATTTCAAATAACAAATAGGTATAGGTATACTGATACTGAAAAGCGGGATTTAGTAAACAAAAACATCTATGTACTAAATAGATTCAATTGTTTGTATTATCTTTATAGTAGCATAGCTACAATGGGGGGGGGGCAGACCTAACATGGACAGGTGTACATTCACACACATGTACCCAAAAAGTGAATGTCAACTCTATGATGCAATTCTTCAGCATAAGACAACAATTAAAAACTGAGAATCTCATTTAATATAAGGATTTTTTTTTAAGTATGTCCAAATACTGAACAAAAGTTAATCCAGACAGAGGCCTTGTATAAAAATTCAGCTCCTCAGCACTAATATGCTAATATTCAGGTGGAAACCACCACTTAGAATGAAATATTCAATAGAAAGTGTCAATGTACCACTCAAGCTGATCTTGCATATACATTTTATAGGAAAGGAGAACTAATACATGAGAAGACCTGTGCTGGTTTTTTCTACTTTAAGTTTATTATAGAACACATCCTAGCAGCTAACATTAGGATCAAACAGGATCAGCACACCAGCCACGATTATATACGATTAGCAATTCTTACGTAAAGTTTCGTGGAAGAGGAGCACATTACTGGAAAGCAATGCATTCACTCTCTCTTAAATCCAATAATGGACTTTTATTCTTATTCATAGGCACAACTATTTTCTCATTACACCTCACAACTTATTTTAAAACAGAGATAAGCATATGAATGCAATATTTCATCATCTAAAGCCCAAAAGGCTTTTGTAAAATAGCACAACTTTCTAAAGAGATACAGATTTTTATTATTTTATAAAAAAGAGAGTCTTCTTTCTTTCCCTATTCCTCTTTTTTAAAAGAGTGAGGTAGCTACTTACAGCCACACAACTTTCCCCAGGAAATTCAGCATTCGTAGAGCAGCACCCAAAGTACAGATTCAGACACAAAGAAACTAGACATTACCAGAGCCTAAGAGTCATTTCACCACCCACACCACCCGCTAAAAGGAGGTTTCAGAGACATGGCATAAATAAAGATTGTGTTCCGTTATGTCATCAAGCCCCAGAATTCTCTTTAGTAGCTGCCCCCAATGCAGACACAGGACAGGCACATCTGCATTTGAGAATCCATGTTCTCCACTGGTCTTCAACTAGTGGTTTGGGACATGGCCTGGACTAAGACAGGTTAGCACAGCGGTGCAATGATTACAGAAACAGAAGGTAAAATAATAATAATAATAGGGTCGCTGAATGCTTGTGTGGGTTAAAAACTGCTGCATCTAACTAGCCCATCCTCCAGCAACTTTGAGCGTTCTGGCATCTCCACCACAGCTTTGTCCTGACAAGTTTCCCAGGCGATGATGGGATTTCTTCCCAGGATTTCTCCCCCCACCGTCACCCTTGGGAATCTAATCCTCTGAAGGAATTTATTTTTCTGGGGGGACGAAGAGAGTGGCTGTCAGTCTCCATCCACAGATGCTCCCGCAGAAAACAGGGCTCAAGCATCTTCGCCCTCCGCCCTTTTGCCCCAAATCAACCCAAACCGTCGCCGTCTGTACTCGGCGGCTCTTTTATTATTTTCCAGAAGCCGCCCCCCACCCCACCCACCCCCCGGGCTCCGCAGAGCAGGTGTGCGTGTCTGGAAAGGGGAAAGCCCAGGAACTCTTGACAGCCCCCCCCCCATGCCTGCCTGTCTGCCTTCCGCGCTTGGCTAACAAAGAACCAAAGGAGGTGGGGAGGGGTGGAGAGAAGGACGCGCCTTCAGCCCCCTCCACACACCCCACACTTTCCTCGCCCGCCCTCCCCTCCCCACCCCCTTTCCCGGCAGCGGCTCGCTCACCCAGCCGCGGCTGGTTCCGGGAAGAAGGCGGCCCCTTCTTCTTCTTCTCCTCCTGCTACCTCCTCCTCTTCGCTCCAAGGCACTGAGAGGCTGGGCTGCCGCCGCCGCCGCTGTTGCTGCTGCAAGGCCCGCGTGCCCTTGTCTGCCTGGCCCTGGTTACGGCAGGGGAGGGACCCGTCTCCTCTTGGCGCAGGGCTCGGCCAATGCAACATTCGCGGCCGCCAGGGGAAATAAACAAACAAGCGAGGGGGTTTAAATAGATAGAAATGCCAAGGCTAAAGTAGCTCCGGGGCAACGTCGCGAGGGCGGCGGCGAAGGCGAGGGCACTCCCCCCCCCTTCCTCCTCTCGTCTCCTCAGTCCGACCCTTCTTCTTCGCTCCGACTCCGCCGCCGAGTCCCGCTTCCTCCTTCGCCGCCGCCGCCACAAGCAACAGCCGCTCTCAGTCGTTGCTCCGCCTGCGCTCTAGCGCGAGCTCGCCTCACGCGCCGGGCCTGGCGAGTGGGAGGGGAGGGAGGCGGGGGAAAGAGGGCGGCCTGCCCTCCCTCGGCGAGGGTTTAAAGGGGCAGAGCAGCTGCTCCTGCCTGCAGGGTCGAAGTTAGAACCCCGGCGGGAGGGAAAGGATTGATCGGGGCGAGGCTCCCCAGGCCGGAGGAATACAAGGAAGGGGAGGAGTCTCGCCGGCCGGCCTTAACAACGCGGGAGATCAGCCAGCGCCTTCCCGCACGTGGACTGCCGCCGCCTCCCCGCTCTCCTCGCGCGGCCTCGGCGGCTGTGGGAAGAGGAGGAGGAGGAGCTCCCTCCTCCGGGACGGGGAATATGGGAGGAAGAGAAACAGGCAGGAGGAAGCGGGCCGGCTCCGTTCTCTTCCCATGTGCGATGTTGCCCACTTTGCGCCCTGTGGCTTTTCGTCTCTTCTCATATTGTGCCTTAACTCTCAGCGCAGGGGGACTTGATTTCTCTCCCCCCCCCGCCCTTGTTTTATTTATTTCTCCTCTTCAGCGTTAAATGGGCCAGGGGTGTCAGAGGAGACAAGCTTCCGAATGCAAAATGTTATATACGCTAGAGAACAAGTTGGCAGGTGTGGTTTCTGTCGCCAACCCCACCCTTTCCACAATATTGCCCTATCCTTTCTGTCCTCTCCATTTTCTCTTTTGCCACTTGGTATTCTTCCCTTTTATCGGATCAACCTGCATATCCATTCCATACCCATTTCCCCCCATTCTTTGCTCGCAGCCCATCCTCACCCAGCGCCTGGCTGGACTTCTGCTGTAGAAAGTCAAATCTCTGGATAAGTTATTTCCCCGCTTTATCAAATGAAAATTCCGAGTCTTGCAGCCCCTCCCCTATCTAAATAAAACACTTTTTAGCATCCAGAAGCATACTTTCGTGAGAGAAACCGCCAACACTAATAATTGCTGCTTTTGTCACTAATTTCCCAAAGAGGTGCAGCAAGAGGCCCTCTGAGGCACTTTTCATACAGCTTTTAATCTCATATCTTTGTCACTGGTTTTGAAAGACTACACATTTGTTCTTCCGCTTTGTTTTGCTGTTACCTCAAACTCAAAAGAAGTGCTTAAGGCTTGACAATCTGAAAGTGCACAAGCCTTTGCAAAATCAGAAGCCCACAGATTCTTTGTACCGGGAATGAGGAACTTGTGGTCTCCAGATTCTCCCAAACTACAGCTCCCATCTTTCCTGGCCACTGGCCATCCTGGGGCTGTATCCAATTACCGTAAGTCCATCCCAAGAGTAGACTCAAAATTAATGAACCTAAATTAGTCATGTCTATTAACTTCATTAGGTCTGTTCTGAGTAGGACCGGCACTGGATACCACCTCAAAGCCACAGGTTCTGCTCTATATTCTTGTTCATGTGGGTGTGTTCATGAGTTAAATTACACTTTGATCACACTTTTTTTTCCAGTGCTCAAATCAACCAAAGTGAAACTGAAAAAAACTGTCAGAAAGATGTCTCTTTTCTGAAGGCCTGTTTTGTATTCATTGGGTGAGGGGGTGTAATATTTGATACATTTGTGTATATTATTCTGTGTGTTCATAATAAAAGGTAAATACATTTCCTTAGTGGCAAGGTGATTGTGATGGTATCGCCATATTTAAAATTGGCTACACAGTTTAGGTCCAAGCTATCTGAAAGAATGTTTTGGCTCATATGCAACTGCCTGGGTTTTGAGATCTTTGTTTATCTATGCAAGACACGCTTTCTTAGCACCCACAATGGTTTGGGTTTCATATTGGGTATTTGTGTCTGGAGTCCCAAGGCAAGGTCTATCCCTCTTCTGATGTCTTAAGTGTGCAAACATAAGGCTACAGAGATGTAGCTCCATGCCAAGCTGCCTGCCATCTGAGCAAATTCTCCCTCATGGTAGTGTGCTGTGTACACCATATCCTGTGATCTTGTGTTGCAACATTGGTGGGACGGTTGTCAATTCAAGGATGTCTGTAAAAAATGTTTTTAATCCCTCCTATTGCATCAGGTTTGATCTGATGTAGAATCACAGTGTCAACAACAGTGTGGCACTTCAAGTCAACCATGTCAAGAGCCTGATGTGTCTCGCTGTTCCTACTGCCTGACAGGGGCTCCAACCGTGTCACCTGCCCTGTCTACTGGAAATTCCCCATGGTCAGGCAATAATCCATATTGTCCACGTCCTACCACGAGAAAAATTATTCATTTGGAAAGCCCCATATGATTATGACATGGCATGAACTAGCTTTTCTTTTTTAATATATCCTCATTCTTTCTCCTTTTGACTTTTTTTTTGTCTCCTAAAACATAGTTTTTAATGAGCTAAGAATGACAGTGTAAAAAAGAACTGATTCCAAAGAAATGGAAAATAACAGCAAGGAAAAACAAATACATAGACAGCACAAAGGAGACATGTGATACCACATGCCAAATATACCCCCAAAAGGCCATGAAATCATTTAAGTCCTGCTGCATCAATCTCTTAAGGAAGATGGGAAGTGTTAAGTTGTGGGTGAACATATCAGACGACACAACGATTCTTCAAACAGCTCTTGTTTATTCAGAGGCCAGAACAGAACTGAACTGAAGGGCTCAGTCAGCCTGCTTATATAGAGCTCCAGTACAACGTTACTGTAGCAACTTTCTAAAACTATCCAATCACTGAACGTCACTTTCGATCCTTCATTTGCGTAACTATCTACAGTATCCCCCTGCTGGCCCAGGGTGAGAACTTCAGTACATAACAGGAAGTGTTAGATGAGAGTCAGACGACTGCATCATCTGGCTCAGTATTTGTCTATAATGGTTGCCAGCAGCTCTCCAGAGTTGCAGGCAGGGGTTTTTCCAAGCTCAACCAGGAGATGCCAGGAATTGAACCCAGGGACCTTCAGCATCCTTAATAAACTACAGCTGTGGGGGGAAATTGGGGAGACACTAATTTCCACTCCCTCCTCACAGGCTCTGGACCTGGTGTCTTCCATGGCGACACTAGGGCTCTCCCAGTTTGTTTCGGGCGCCACACATCAAGCAGGCCACACGCTGGATCTGATCTTTGGCGTCGGTATAGATGTGATCATGTTTCCTTCGATGAAGGTGCCATGGTCTGATCACTACGCTCTGAAAGCCAGGATTGACGTTCCACCCCCACCCTGCTTAGGTGGTGAGCCGATTTGGGCTCGCCCGCGGAGGCTGATGGACCCTGATAGATTCCGTCAAGCCTTGCGGGACCTTTCTCCCCCTGGCGACTCATTGACTGAGCTTGTTGAGGGCTGGAATACCCAGCTCCTGGCAGCCATCAATGAGATCGCACCTAAGCGCCCTCTGCGACCCCGCAGAAACCGGGCTCCCTGGTTTACTGAGGAGCTCCGGAAAATGAAGCGGGACCTCAGACGGCTAGAGCGAGTATGGCGGGGTGCCCGTGACGGAGCCTCAAGAACATCTTATAGGGTTTTTATGAAAACCTATGAGATGGCAGTGAAGGCCGCTAAGAAGTCCTACTTCTCGGCCTCCATTGCATCCGCTAGCTCTCGCCCGGCACAATTATTTAGTATAATTCGGTCTTTAACGTCCCTCGAAGGACAGCCAAATTTAAATAACAATTCGATACACAGCTGTGAGGCATTTGCGAGCTTTTTTGCGGAGAAGGTCCTGTCGCTCCGCCATGACCTCCCTGCCAATTTGGATACAATAAAGGAACTGGAGGCCCCTCGACTGTCCTCGGGTCCAGTATTGGACCACTTTGACCGGATATCCCCAGCCGATGTGGACAGACTCCTCCGAGCTGGAAAGCCCACCACTTGTCCTCTCGACCCGTGCCCGTCTTGGCTGATTAGAGCGTGTCCAGACGAGGTGCGGGCCCCCCTGGGAGATATCATCAATTTGTCCCTTGGCACCGGGACATTCCCAGGGGAACTGAAGGAGGCAGTGGTGCGTCCGCTCTTAAAGAAAACATCATTAGATCCTTTAGATCTATCCAATTACCGCCCAGTTTCGAATCTTCCATTCCTGGGTAAGGTGATTGAGAGAGCGGTTGCTGAACAGCTTGGTAGGTTTCTGGATGAAACATCGGCTCTGGATCCATTCCAGTCCGGCTTCCGCGCTGGTCATGGGACCGAGACGGCTCTGGTCGCCCTAACAGATGATCTTCGTAGACAGCTGGATCGAGGCGGGTCGGGGCTGCTGATTCTTCTAGATCTGTCAGCAGCTTTCGACATGGTTGATCACGAACTTCTGGACCACCGCCTCGCCGACGTGGGGATCCAGGGCACAGTCCTTCAATGGCTGCGCTCGTTTCTCTCTGGTCGGGGACAGAGGGTGGCGCTTGGGGGGGAACTGTCATCCTGCCACTCCTTGGTGTGTGGAGTGCCTCAGGGTGCGATTCTCTCCCCGATGCTTTTTAACATCTTTATGCGCCCCCTCGCCCAGCTTGTCCGGAGTTTTGGGCTGGGCTGCCATCAGTATGCTGATGACACCCAACTCTATCTGTTGATGGATGGCCATCCTGACTCGGCCCCAGACACACTGATCAGATGCTTGGAAGCTGTGGCTGGATGGTTACGTGGGAGCCGGTTGAAGTTAAATCCTTCGAAGACAGAGGTCCTCTGGCTGGGACGGGACGATATGGGATTGAGGGGGCAACTCCCATCTCTTGCGGGGGTGCAATTAGTGCCAGCACCGTCCGTTAAGAGTTTGGGTGTAATCTTCGATACCTCCCTCTCCATGGAGGCGCAGATTGCAGCTATAACAAAGGCGGCATTCTTTCATCTCCGCCAAGCTAAGCAGTTGGCTCCTTACCTCTCTCGCCCTGACCTAGCCACTGTGATCCACGCGACGGTCACCTCCAGACTGGATTATTGTAACTCGCTCTACGTGGGGCTGCCCTTGAGACTGACCCAGAAACTCCAGCGGGTACAGAATGCCGCAGCGAGACTCCTTACGGGGTCTTCGCTGCGGGATCGCATTCATCCGGTGCTATACCAGCTGCACTGGCTCCCGGTGGAGTACAGGATCAGGTTTAAGGTGCTGGTTTTAACCTTCAAAGCCCTACACGGCCTAGGACCCTCGTATCTACGGGACCGCCTCTCCTGGTATGCCCCACAGAGGAACTTACGGTCCTCAAATAAAAACATCTTGAAGGTCCCAGGCCACAGAGAGGTTAGGCTGGCCTCAACTAGAGCCAGGGCTTTTTCGGCTGCGGCTCCAACCTGGTGGAACGCTCTGTCACAAGAGACAAGGGCCCTGCAGGACTTGACATCTTTCCGCAGGGCCTGCAAG